CAAAAATTCTAAAACCACCCAAAAAAAAAAATTTTTTTCCCCCAATCCCCCCCCCCCCCCCCCCCCCGGAGTTATGCACTGTTGAAGGATGGGTAGTTCCTTTATTTTCTCGCATTAATAATTGTCATATGTGCATGACAACAACAAAAAACTTTTAACCATAGTGTATGGAATTGAATCTGGAAACTTCCCTCCTCCCTCTGTGTTTATTCCAACTGTGATATGTGAGTGGGCAGCCTCTATCAGATTTTCCACAATCGTAATTTGCATACTAAACTCATCGCAACAGAATAACTCTCCCTTCCCCCTTTGCAGTTATTCTTCTTTTAGCCTTTTTGTCCACTATAATTTTCAATTTACAATCTTACCTTAGATAAATCAACCGCTTTATGGCATACAGAGACCTGTCATTGCTGACAATCAGTAGACAATCCCTAAGCTTTAGATAAGTTCTAGAAACAGTTGGCCAAAAAAGGGATAATGCATGAAGTAGGATGGCTATCTCAAAATAGTTGTCTATACCACAAAGTATATTGGGATACTTTATTTGCAGCTTCAGGTCAGTTATGTTAGCAGCAGAACATAATATGGACCATTCTAACTGTTTACTCTTACTATCATAAAAGGTCCTTCATTGTAATCTTACTGTATGTGATCGACCTAATAGCATCTGGAATGGCTTCTGAACACCAATTCAACACTCTGCTTATAAAGTCAAGAGAGTTGACTCACAAAAACTATCCTGATTTTTTGTTTCCAGGTACACAAATCTTCTTTCTTCATTCTGCTTGTCTAGGATCCTAGATCAATTCCTATATAATTGATGTTTTTTCTAACCCTTTTTCATCTATGCTACGTTCAACAATCTTCACTGAACCAACCCAAAACATCTTAATTGTAGCCATCAGATTTTATCTACTGAAGGCAACACTTGATATCATAAATCAACAGAACAATGACCAAAAGAGATAATCCAAATGGTCACTAAAATTTGCAAAAGGTTTTCACGAGGTCACTTAACTTTATAAATCACTCAAATCGTCACTGAACTTTGCAAAAAGTTTCCATGATATCACCAAACTTTAAAAATCATCCCATTCATCACTAAACTTTGCAAATAGTTTCCACTGGATCACTTAACTATGCAAAAGGTTTCTCAGGGGTCACTGAATTCCCCTAGTAAATCTTTTGCAAAGTTGAGTGATGAATGGGGTTATTTTTAAAGTTCAGTGACCCGTGGAAACATTTTACAAATTTCAATGACCATTTGGGTTATTATCTCACTCGGATGGCTAGAGCATACTTTGCATATGCTCAACGACTAACTTGCAGCAAGTTACAATAAGCAGAGGTAAATCAAATACAGAGTTGATATCATTGAACCCTTCTGTGGATGAAGCACTAGACTATAGAGCCAATTCCAAGCTCATTGGAACCATGGCTTAACAAAGATATTTAAAGTCAATACCTTTCCATCCAACATTGCTAGCTAAGCCACCTTCTAGACACTAGCATTTCAATCCTAAATAGAATTATTCCATCTCTCTTACTATACCCGATAATTGCAACTGCTGCTTGCATTAAGTGTCCACCAAACATAATCCAAACATCTATCTTATCTGAGAAATGAAACTTCCATTAGAATGTATGCTTAGTTCAAGCACGGACAGACCTTAGATTTGGAGATGATTTTGACGGCAACAGGCAGGTCTTTGAGCTCTCCCTTTCGGCCTTTGGCATAGCAAGTGTGACCAAAATGGCCTCGGCCCACCTCTTTGCCAAGCTCATACTTTGCCCCAAAATTTTTATTATACCCAAAGTTCTTGTCCAAAGCCTGATGCCTCTCCGGCTCCTCCGTAACCCCCGCAGCATCCTCCGGAATTGTCCCCTCCCTTGGTGTCTTCCCGTGCCCAAACCTCCTCACCAAAGATGCCTTGATGTGCTTCGCCGGCGACGGCGGAGGAAACGGCTTCCTAAAAAACCTCCTCGGTGTTGACCTAGCTGGCGACGGCGACACTCCCGCCGGCAGAGGACTGGTCCCTCCCGCTCCCACTCCACCGTAAGGGTACGGGCTCGGCCAGGAACTGTTTCCAGCCGAGGATCTCGCCGGAGTATTCTTAGCCGACGGAGTGCCGTTACGAACCGGCGTCTCCGATGGCCGATCGCCACCTCCATCGCCATCAGCGGTGGCTGTAATGGTGGTCGTCGCATAAACATCATTATCTCCGGTTGGAATCGACTTACCATAACACTGCCCCATCGCAGCAGCTGCAGCTCAGTGTCAACTCAAAACCACTATTTCTAATTTCTCTCTCTATACGTATATGTGTATATATATTACAACTGGATCGAGACTAGGTCAAATACAAAAAGTCTAAGCATTTGACGGTGCAGATCGGTCCGAATCTCAAGATCAGAGCTGAGAAAAGGACCAGAGTTTAGAAAGAGAAAGTGAATCAACAGATCAACGGCGAGAAAACGATAAAAAAAGGGAATGAAGTAAAATCCCAGTCATATATATTTCTGATATAGAATATAGATACAGATAAAAATGTGACAGTGTGATGAAAGAAACAGAAATAAGTGTGTAATAAGTGAATGGAAATCTAAGGGAAAACCCGACCCGATCCGACATTATTTTCCATCCGTCACTTTCTCTTTAATAGAATAATTAATTCTATAAATGATTTAGAACTTCGAAAGTATAGTATCTATTCCACAAAATTTTAATAATAAGTTGAAATTTTTTACCTTTGAAAGAAGATTGTATTGTGAAAAAGGGGATCAAAGACGTACTTGATTGATAGTGCTTTAAGTGTTGGTCCTACTAGGGTGGTGGATAATTAATGGATTCTAAATAATGAATCCTACTAAATATATAGATAAAAGGTAAATTTGACTAACTTAAAATATAATTTAAACTTCGCCATAATTAGTAATGAGTGAAAGGAAGAGGGATGAATGGGACGAAAAATGCAAGTGAAGGGGTTAGAAATAATTTTTTCGGCCCCTTATTTTTTCTTCGTGAAGTTACTGATTTGACCCTAAAATTACCTGAAGGAGGTGAACAGATAAATAATGTGAAATTTAAAATATCGATTAAAAGCAATAAATCACATTTTAATTGTTTAAGATGTTTAGACAATAAAGTCAATTTTATCCTATATTGAATTGCCACACTAGTAAATAAAGTAGTAAATAACACAATATTTGTTGACGAAGAAAATCTTTCACAGGATTAAAAATTTTGGGATCAAGCCAGTGACTTTCACTATAGACAATATAAACTTACAGTATAATCCAACAAAGAAAACATACTAAACTTACCGATCTAATTCATACAATCTCTAAAACTCGTTAAAACGTGCTTTACTACACCTGTACTCGGTCTTTTAGAAATGTTTATCTCCCGTGAATCGCCAAGAACATCTTGTTCTTGTATTCTTCTTGTGCTTCTAGTCTAACATTCCTTAATCTTCAATGACATCTGAAAACAAGCACTCTAGAACCCACCAAGGTGCCAACGCTCGTGAAAGCCTAGGTCGGTCGATCCTCCATTCATTGGATCGGAGGGCCATTAAGAAGGTACCTTCCTGATTATGTTTAGGAGGTAGATGTTCTGGATTATATGGTGTTGATATTTTTCCCAATTTGTGGTCTTGAGATGTAGAATTATTTTTTTGGGTCTTCAAAGAATGTTATGAAGGTAGGATATAACGATCAACCACCGTTTTCACGAAGTGAGGCTTGTGTATTTATTGTAGAGAGGTATTTGAGTAGTATATGATAGATAGAATTTTGGAAAATAGTGAACTAAGATTTCTCGAAAAACACTTTCGCTCAGGTGACAGGTGTGTCGCTCGAGCAATCGGTGAGCAACTGTTTGGATGTTCGAGCATCAGCTTAGCAACATCCTAGCATAATTCCAATAATTCTTTTTTCATGTTCCATACTCGGATCCAAAGGCTCCTAGTTCATCTATACAACATTCCAACAAACTCGGTGACTTTTACAACTCTTTTATAATAATCATTTTGTCTAAAAAATAGCCAATACAATTGAAGCCTAACAAATTTTCCATTTGACATTTTGTGACAAAATTATACAATACAAGTCAAAGAAGTAAAACAAAACTAATCAATCCAAACTCAAACTGAATGTGTCTCTCTTGTATCCTTTCCTCCTGAATTCAACAACTCAAATACTTAATGTAAAAGCGTGTGAAACAAAAAATATAATAATTGAAACACACTATCACAAATATACTAGTTGGATTGAGAAGTAATATTAATATCAATCAAAACACCAATTAAAAACATTAATATCACAAACAAAACATCAAAAAAAAAAACTAGTTATTATGATGCATTATAATATGGAATTTCATAAAATTCTATCATCTCCCCTTACTACAAAATCTCCCTAAATTGCCAAAATGCCACTAGAAGAAAATGACATCATCTCTCCTCATTTTTTTTTCACAAATGACGAAGGGAACTATAACAAATGTAATTATATTTCTTCTCCTCATTTTTTAGTTTTTTTAAATATCACTGTTAAAAATCGATAACAATATATAAGAACTCAAAAATACTGTTGATAGCATGCACAAAGATAATAAAAGATTGGTAAATTTTTCCACATAATCAGTTCAAGTTAAAATTAAGTAAATTATATAAGTGACCCATATATGTAAAGTATCATTAATCTTTTGTAAGTAGGACTTCAAGCCTTAATTTTATGAGAAATGATAAGCTAAGCATCACTGTTAATAAGTTTATCCTAACAATACTATAAAGAAGCTAATTTTTATGTATATTCTTCTTTTCTCACCTTGAATTTGAGCATATAATTTTTTTGTCTTATGTGCAATCTCTTCTCTATTAAACGACTAAAATGATCCCTATTACGAATTTTAGAGCGATTAACCCCAAGTTAGATTACCATGGGCACTAAGTTATGAGAAACCCCATGAACTTCATTGCTGGAGTCAAAAAGGCTCCCAAGAAGAGAATAAAGTATTGAACTTTTTTCTTTTGAGATAATATACTGTTTAGATATATTAGAATAAGGTCAATTCATATTTAAAGTCACATTATCAACACATGACTACCATCCCAAATCTCACACACGTGGTCAAGTCCTACTCACAATATTATAGTGTGTGCAGTGTAAGTACATGAATAAACCTATACTAAGTATTCCATAAAAATATAAACAAGTAACGGAAAATATGCTACAGCACATCAATTAAACTCATGCTTGGTTACAACACACATATTCAAGTAACTCATATATCATGTTGTAGTGTCAAAAAAATTCCATTTTCTTTCCTTTTTTCTTCTAATTGATAAAACATAAATGTATCAAACACAAAAAATAATTAAAAAGTACATATATGTAACACACACACACAAAAAAAAGTGTGCATGTACCAATGTAAACAAAATGAGATACGTGCTATCAAGAATAAGTACAATGAATAAACACAAGCATGCACCAAACATACTAATTCACTAAGACTTAAAACTGCTATCCTCTTGACAAGCAACACAAACAGAATCATCAGTCAGAGCATCTCTTTGATCATAAAGATCACTCTTTTTTCACCCAAACTTGCTTAATGGAAGACTTATTCCAAATAATTTGTGTCATTAGCTCGATCAATTAACTCGTCTGATTAGTAAGAAAGTCAATCCGGCTATCAAAATCCTGATTTCTATTTTTAGTGAAATTTTGATTTCTATTTCTATTTAGGAATTTATGACACTCATGTCTTATTTATCTTAACTCACTACAGTTGAAAGAAGTAGGGATAAATCTAGATCCAAAATTATGAGGTCGTTGATATTTATTCCTAAGTTGGTAGGTCCTACATTGTCTAGTAAGCCTCTATCCTATAATACCTTTATTCTTAAGTTCAGAATTAGGAACATACTTAGACTGGTTGGTAGCAATTTAGGAAGCACTAGCCCTATTATGATCAGTCTTCTTATATCCTAAACCACCCATGTTCCCAGCAGGCTTGTTCAACCCTAAAGATTGTCCAGTTTCTGAAATTCACTCAAGAATGAATAGAGTTGAGTATTGGATTTTTCAAGATCACTTGTCAATGTTGTAACCTTAGCCTTTAGGTTCTCATTGATTAATATTAACTCACTAAGGCTTTTGGTTGACTCATAAAGTTCATATATAAGTGTCTCTCTTTTTAGCTCAAGTGTATTAACCTTCTTAAGTACGACTTTATTTACCATCTTAATATTAAGACTCGCCTCAAATAATTGATGATAAGCCTCATAAATCTCTTTCTCATCTTTAGAATCTTTCAGAGTGCTCATCGCTATCTACCTCCTCAATCTTCTCACTATCCACATCAAATTCACTCCTAATACTAGCACTAAAAGTCATAAACTTCCCACTCTCATCACGAGCGGATTTCTCACTTAATTATCCGAACTAGACTCGTCATCAATGAGAGTTACATTAATCGATTTATCCTAATTTCTCTTACTGTTATGGCACTCACTCCTATAGTGGCCAAAAGCTTCACACTTATGACATCTTATAGATTAAAGATCTTCTTTCTGGACTTACTAGGAGCACATCTATGTCTCTCTTGGAGCTTCTTCTTATTTTTAAACATTTTTCGAAATTTTTTAGCAAAATAAACTATCTCCTCATCATTAATGGTCTCTGTATCAGTAGAGTCATACTCTTTTTCCCTAACAATATTCAAGCTTATAGACTTGTTCTTTTTAGTTTGAGATATAGTGATATCATAAGTTTGGAAAGATCTAACTAGTTCTTCGATCTTAATCGTATCTAAATCCTCGCTCTCCTCGAGAGTCATAATTTTAGATCTAAATCTCTCATGTAAGGGTCTAAGAATTTTTCTGACAATCTTAGACTCGGGAATTCTTCGCATACGTTGAAGCTAGAATTAACTATGTAATTCAAGTTGGCATAAAAGTCATCGAAGGTCCATCACCTTTCATCCTAATCTTTTCAAACCTAGTGATCAACATTTGTAACTTAGAGTTCTTAATAGCCCGAATTTCCTCATGTGTGGTCGGTAAAAAAATCCCCAACCTCTTTAGCAGCTTCACACATAGACACACGCCTAACTTCTTCTTGTGACGACTGTAAATAAATCATGTAAATCCTTAAGATTCCAATTAAACTCATCTAAATTAGTCTTTGGCCAATTAGCTATAGGAGTGGGGGATATAACACCATTAATGGTGTAGGAAGGGGCAGTCTAACCATTCACTACGCCTAAACAAATATGCTCATCCATCTATTTTAGGAAGGCTCTCATTCTAACTCTTTAATAAGCATAGTTACAACCATTAAAATATGACGGGATTGACAATGAACTATTCATTTTGAAAGTTATGGTCAAGAATCAAATTTGGCTCCGATACAACTTGAAATTTACTGGTTCGACCTTAAAATACCTAGAGGGTGTGATTCGACAAATAACGTGAAATTAAAATTATCAATCGAAAACAACAAGTTATCTTTTAATTGTTGTAAATG